ATGTGATATATCACATATATATATATAATATGATTCATATATGTATATATATATTTTTTTCATTTTTAAATTATGATTTATTATAGGATACAGAATATAGTTCCCTTTGCTATACAGTAGGACCTTGTTGTTTATCTATTTTATATATAGTTGTTTGTATCTGCTAATCCCAAACTCCCAATTTATCTCTCCCCCACCCCATTTGCCCTTTGGTAATCATAAGTTTGTTTTCTATGTCTGTGAGTCTGTTTCTGTTTTGTAAATAAGTTCACTTGTACCATATTGTAGATTCCACATATAAGTGATATCATATAGTATTTGTCTTTCTCTTTCTGACTGACTTCACTTGGTATGATAATCTCTAGGTCCATCCACGTTGCTGCAAATGGCATTATTTCATCCTTTCTTTACGGCTGAGTAGTATTCCATTGTATAAATATATACCACATCTTTTTTATCCATTCCTCTGTCAATGGACATTTAGGTTGCTTCCATGTCTTGGCTATTGTAAATAGTGGAAGGCATTATTTTGTTTTGCCTCCTAAGATGATTCTAAAATAGCTTTTTTTTTTTAAATTAAAAAAATATAATCCTGTGCATTCTAGAAACTGATGAGACAAAAAAAAGGAAACGGAAAACCAGTAGCAATCACACAACCCAGAATACCGTGCTTAATATTTTAGTGCATTCCTTTCCAGACTTTTTCCTGAAATGTGTTTTTAAATAAGACACAAACAGTGGTGGTGGTGGTATGGGGTTGGGAGAAGTGGTGGTAGAGAGAACGGGAATTAGAGCTCCTAGTCTGCAGGCGTCAGACTAACTTTTTTTACTTCCCTGAAACCTATGCCTTTTTCATACCTATGTTTCTAAATGTCCCTGAATTAGGAAACAGCTTCTGTATGGGTTAAGAATTTGTGACTCATGTAAGAGACCTGAAAAAGTAGTGGCTGTGTAAGGCAGAAATTTGTTTCTTTCTCATATAAATGAAACCCAGAAGTAGGCAGTCTAGAACTGGTGAAGTGGCTGTATGGTATGACTATCTTTCAGCTCATGACTTCCTTTCTCATTGTTGCCTCCAGGTGCTAGATAGCTGCTGGAGCTCCAACCATTACATCTGCATTCATGATAGTAAAAGAAGGAAGGGAAGAAGGGCTTGGCCTCTTCCTTTTAAGGAGTTTTCCCAGAAGTTGCCTTTTATACTTTTAATTGTAATTTTATTTATGATTTCTTCATAGTCAAATCTATTTCTTTTTTGTTAATAATTTTCAGGTTTTGGTATGATAGTAAAAATATCTTCCCAACCTAGTATCATTAAAGTATTCTGTACATTTTCTGGAATTTTAGAGCTGTTTTTTCTTTTTAGTTTTAATCTGAAATTTATTTATGTTTATAGCGTGGGGTAGAGATCTAACATTCTTTTTCCAAATGGCTGCCGGAAAGGGACATTTTCTTTAACCCACAATATCTGTTCCTCTTGTAGCCATTAGCCAAGATCCTTCCCTAGACAGTACAAGAGGCACCCAGACAAATTCTTAATCTTTTTTTTCTAGGTTTCATTCAGACCTACACTAATTTGTTCACACTTGTATTGCTAACCATTCCCTTTTTCGTTTTAACCTCCATTGTATCCAACACATGTCTTGTTTTGCACTCATACATGGCATTATAATCCATGCTCAAACATTTCTCCCACACAGGACTGTGAGCACCTTGAGAGTAGGGACTGTCTTAATCCACTTGGTATCTGTAACATTGAAAATTCAGCAGCTTCCTCAATCAATGTTAAACTGACTGAACGAATGAAAGAGCGTCATGTTACATGCCATTTGTTACTAGTTCCCTTTAAAAGGTGACTTTCTAATGACTCAGTAGGAGGTACCTTAATCTCTTAGCTAAATCTCATTTTTGGGAGGTTACTTCTGAGGAAGTTTCCTCAACAAAATTAATCCCATTAATGCTGTTTGGATTTCACTTGGTTTCAACTCTGTGGCATTGTATTTTTGTGGACAATTGGAGGGCACCTCCATACATCAATTCCAGTAACTATTAGTAAGCCAGGGTTTCAAGACTCCAGTACTTAGAGGACCTCTCAGGGACCCTGGGGAAGCTGTTCATTCAGGAAACATTCCTGGTGCATCTGTCACTTGGAAGTTCTCATGCTAGCTGCTCTAAGGAGGCAGAGCTGAGTTAGAAATGGCCTTTGCCCTTGGGATCAGGACACCACAATGAGGATGAGTGAGGTTTGTTTTTTTGTGTGTGTGGTACGCGGGCCTCTCACTGCTGTGGCCTCTCCCATTGTGGAGCACAGGCTCCGGACGCGCAGGCTCAGCGGCCATGGCTCACGGGCCCAGCCGCTCCGCGGCATGTGGGATCTTCCCGGACCGGGGCACGAACCCGCGTCCCCTGCATCGGCAGGTGGACTCTCAACCACTGATCCACCAGGGAAGCCCAAGGATGAATGAGTTTTGATGAGTTCATGGGGCGGGGGTGGCACAGAAAAAGCCTAGCCGTGGCTGCCCCTCGGTCTGCGGTGCTGAGAAGCAGGAACCCTGGCCTTGGTAGAAATCAGAGCATCACCCAAAGGTGGGGCATGGGGAGTAAGGAAAGGTGGCCTCCTTTATAATTTAGCAAATGATTCACCTTGGAAACATGAGGAGCAGGAAGGAACAAGCTGGATTATTTCACCCAAGGAGATTGTCGTCTTCTCTTCTCAGAAGTGTCCTCTGCATTCAGCGAATAAGTACTTACTGAGTTCTGTGGGCTGTTTTTTTCTTTTCTTTTCTTTTCTTTCTTGAATCTCTTTTTTCCTTCACTCTAGGTGGAGTGTGTCCAGGGGGAGGGAGAGCTTTGGGTGCATAGAGCGAGTGGAGGTCTGGGTGGGACTGGAGAGTGCCCCCAGCCAGCCAGCCAGCCAGCAAATCTCGGCTGACCCTGAGCTGTGTCCTACATCCCTGGTTGGAGACAAAGATGATCATACTGAGTCTCGGAACCACTTCTCTGTGGCTAGAGATCATAGCCCATCTCCTCCAAGAGCCTACTGATACAGAACATTGAAAAAGGTTAGGGCTCAAAGTACCCGCACCCCATCTTCTTCAGTACCTTTTGTCTCTTTCAGACTCCAGCTCCACCCATCTGGTAACACATTAACTTGGCTTGCTTATCTCTTTCTATTTCCTGCCTCTCTGAGTCATGGCCTTTTCTTCTTAGCCAGTCAGTGGGGCTCCCCTTGCTCTCCGCGACCACATGCAACCTTTCTCTTCTGCGCAGCCTTAGAATTCTGCCAACACCTACTGTGCTGGGTGCTGAGAGAGAACGAATATGATTTCCAGGAGCTTGTAGTCTAATGAGAGGACAAAACGGACACATACTAGAGATAAACACCACCATGATGAAATAAATAAAAGGGTGCATTTGCCAGTTTGTAAACTCAGCTTAAAATGGTCGGATCCTGGGCTTCCCCGGTGGTGCAGTGGTTGAGAGTCCGCCTGCCGATGCAGGGGACGTGGGTTCGTGCCCCGGTCCGGGAAGATCCCACATGCCGTGGGGCGGCTGGGCCCGTGGGCCATGGCCGCTGAGCCTGCATGTCCGGAGCCTGTGCTCCGCAATGGGAGAGACCACAACAGTGAGAGGCCCGCGTACCACAAAAGAGGAAGAGTTGTGTTTCAAACAGAATAACTTAAGCTTCTTTTACTTTTCTTGATGACATACAAATTCTAGCAAAAGGAAAGCAACCAGATTATAAAGTACAATTCATTAATGCCCATGTAATTTGTTAACCTCTTGAAAGGAAGAGTGACCGTTGAATCATTGTCATGATTTCGATCACTCTAGCTGTTGTTGCCCTTTCATCCATCGTTACATGGAATGTGATACTTAGATTTTAACTTTGCTCTGGGATTTGATAGCTGTTAATAACTAGAGAACAATACATTTAAGATGATTTTATTCCTGTAGGAGTAGTCCTTTGCTTTTTGTCTCGGAGAAGCCATTGTCTTTTACCTAAAACTTACTCAACAACAATTAAACCCCCGCAACCAAAAAAAAAAAAAAAAAACGACACCATAGCATACTCATTGTGGGAACTCTAGACTGTGTTAGGCTTTTACTTATTCTCGGGTTTAATGTTGCTTTTATTCTCAGTACCTGAGGGAGCTGAGTACCCTCATCATTTTCAGTGCTTGGGACTTGTAAGTATCTTCATGTAATCCTGGACCCTTGGACACATTTGCCCCCAGGCTCACCTGGCTCTGTTGGGCCTCAGCAGGGCTAAAAGAAACCCTTATGAAGGGATTCATTCCTTAGGTCTGGGGTCCTAGACCTTGAAACTTGCCTGGTCCCCACCTTCTCTTTAAGGCCAGAGAAGTGCTCCACCTTCTCTTTAAGGAGTTAAGGCGTGGAATCTGCTGCTTTGTGATCTCTGCGGCTTACCTGGCTCCTGATCTTCCTGTGCCTCTCTCCAGCTATTCTGTTTCCTCTCTTGCACTTCCCTGGGGTCAGCTGCAGCTCACCTCTCCCCTCTGCACTGCTAACACTGACCACTTAAACTGAGGCTCTTTCCAGAGCACAGAGAAGGGGACAATTCCAGGTCTCTTCCCTGATCTACCCACATCACCAGCATCAATACTTTTCCTTGATCCAGAATTAAAGAACACTATTTGTACCCTCCTTGAGCTATTCTGGGAGCAAAATGGCCTCTGTGGGCTGGTACTGGAGACTACCTAACAGCAACCTTCACCCAGGGCCTGCATATGCCAGGTTTTAAGTCAAGTCTCCCATATGTGTTATCTTTTTTTTTTTTTTGCGGTGCGCGGGCCTACTCACTGTTGTGGTCTCTCCCGTTGCGGAGCACAGGCTCCGGACGCGCAGGCTCAGCGGCCATGGCTCACGGGCCCAGCCGCTCCGCGGCACGTGGGATCCTCCCGGACCGGGGCACGAACCCGCGTCCCCTGCATCGGCAGGCGGACTCTCAACCACTGCGCCACCAGGGAAGCCCTACTTTATCTTTTAAAAGGACATTTCTAGAACTGAAGCTGAGAGTTTGAATTTCATGGATTTTCTCTCTAGACCGATCAGAAATTCTATCCCCCAGTTAAGAGCTATGTTAGAAACAGGGTGGTGAGGCTTGGGGGGAAGAAGGAAAAATGAGGGGTGGGGGGTGCCTCTTATTAATTACACCTCTACAGCAACAGATACTCAGCTCTGCTTCCCTTTGTCTCTCCTGAGGTGGAGGAATCACCCAGATCCTGATTCCAATGCCAGCATGATCAGCTGGTCTGTAGTGTCAGGCTATAGACCTCCATCAGTGAGCTGGGTGTATGAAGATCCTAGGCAGGACTTGACCGAGGATAGTTGTCTAGAGAAGAAACCTATTTTTGCCATCACTTTGGAGTTGCACTTGATGTTCCTTGAGCATGTTCCAGGTTAGTTTGTAACTGAAGGCATTTTGTTCTGTCCAAGGATTTCATCCTCCTCCTTCCCTGTGCCCGAACTCTATCGATCTCCCATTCCATGAAGATGATTGGGTGGAAGAAGAAACTCTGCAGGGGGCATCACCTGTGGGCCCTGGGCTGCTATATGCTGCTGGCCGTTGTTGCTCTGAGACTTTCTCTCAGGTTAAAATGTGACATAGATTCCCTGGATCTGGAATCCAGGGACTTTCGAAGCCAGCGCTGTAGGGACATCTTGTACAAGTCCCTGAAGCTGCCAGCAAAGAGATCCATCAACTGTTCTGGGGTCACCCGAGGGGACCAGGAAGCAGTGGTCAAGGCTCTCCTGGACAATCTGGAGGTCAAGAAGAAGCGGGAGCCTTTCACAGACACCGATTACCACAACATGACCAGAGATTGTGAGCAGTTTAAGTCCCAAAGGAAGTTCATACAGTTCCCACTGAGCAAAGAAGAGTTAGACTTCCCCATCGCATACTCTATGGTGGTCCATGAGAAGATTGAAAATTTTGAACGGCTGCTGCGAGCTGTGTATGCCCCTCAGAACATATACTGCGTCCATGTGGATGAGAAGTCCCCAGAAACTTTCAAAGAGGCAGTCAGGGCCATTATTTCCTGCTTCCCAAATGTCTTCATGGCCAGTAAGTTGGTCCGGGTGGTTTACGCCTCCTGGTCCAGGGTGCAGGCTGACCTGAACTGTATGGAAGACTTGCTCCAGAGCTCGGTGCCATGGAAATACTTACTGAATACATGTGGGACAGATTTTCCTATAAAGACCAATGCTGAGATGGTCCTGGCCCTCAAGATGTTGAATGGGAAGAACAGTATGGAGTCCGAGATACCTACTGAGTACAAAAAGTCTCGCTGGAGATACCACTATGAGGTGACAGACACATTGCACCTAACCAGCAAGATGAAGGACCCTCCCCCTGATAACTTACCTGTGTTCACAGGGAATGCCTATTTTGTGGCTTCTCGAGCCTTTGTCCAACATGTCTTAGAGAACCCCAAATCCCAACGACTGATCGAATGGGCAAAAGACACCTATAGCCCCGATGAACACCTCTGGGCCACCCTTCAGCGTGCACCGTGGATGCCCGGCTCTGTCCCCTACCACCCCAAGTTTCACATCTCAGACATGTACACCATTGCCAGGCTGGTCAAATGGCAGTTCCATGAGGGAGACATCAGTATGGGGGCATCTTATGCACCTTGCTCTGGAATCCACCAGCGGGCTGTCTGCATTTATGGGGCTGGGGACCTGCACTGGATTCTTCAGAATCATCACCTCTTGGCGAACAAGTTCGACCCAAAGGTGGATGATAATGTTCTGCAGTGCTTAGAAGAGTATTTACGTTATAAGGCCATCTATGGGACTGAACTCTGAGATACACCGTGAGAGGATTGCTACCCAAGGGGCAGGAACATGTACAAACGTGCCCAGAACATGCTGGGACAGTGTGGGGTGGGAGACCAGGCCTCTGGAATCCGTGGCATCTCCCTGGGTCAGGGGGCTGCTCTTGGAATGTGATGAGTAGATTTGTTGCCTTGCAAATTGCTGCCCTGGGTGAACACTGTTGTGTCACTCACCTCACTTCCAATAGCTTCTCCACTGACTTTCCCACCGAGTTGGGAATAAGAGCCAGCTCTTTGGATGAATAAGGGAGGGAAGTGTGGCAGGAGACCCTGGATTTTAGTTCAATTTTTGGTATTGGCTTTTTCACTCTTTGGAGATGCCATTCCTAATAATTCTAGGCTTGGTAGTAGGGAGGGGACTTTGAGGGACAAAAGGCCTTGTATTTTGTACTATTAACTTAAAAATAAATAGCTTCTGATTCAAATCCCTGACTCTACTTTTTGCCTAGTAAGCCAGAGATAAGGTAAAACTCTGAGACGTTTTCTCATAACTATTGGTGACATTTAAAATCCCTGGTGGCTAGCAAGAGAATCCCCATTGTTCCGGGATGATCATGGCAAGCTGTATAAATGGCAGATTCAAAAGAATATAGAGGAACACAGCTGATTCTTGCATTATTGAAAGCCCTCCTCATTTTGTTAACATCGCCAGATTCATGACTTTTCTGTAAGAGAAAAGGCAGGGTGATTTAACCAATATGACCATCCATATCCTCATGGGAAAATTACAGCACTAATTTTGCAAGCTTCACAACCAAAGCTTAACGTTCCATGAGAAAGATGGTAGTTGCCATTAAGTAAGGTCACCGTATAATTTATTGTCAAAACTGGAACACATTTTACTTGGGGGTGGGTGGGTGCTGTAGTATTAATAATTATGTTAGATAACAAGAATAAACTAGGTCTGGTTATTCTATCTTTATGCGTCTTGAGTCAAAACTCTTATTTAAGTATGTGAATGGAATGGTCACTGTGTCACTGTTCATAGTTCTGTGGCTTATACATTTCCGTGTGGGGAGACAGTTTGTGTGTGTGTGTGTGTGTGTGTGTGTGTGTGTGTGTGTGTGTGTGTGTACATGTGTTCTCTGGACCACACTTGCATCCGCCTGCCTAACAAATGTTACCTGGTGAAACAGTTTCCTTTCTAAAGCTCCAGAGATAACTGTCAGGTAATCGGAAGGCAATTAGCTGTTACATTCTTCTGTGATGGGAAAAGGATACCTCATAAACAGATAAGCATATCTTGTATATGGTAGAGCTGGTCTTCTGCATACAATCTGCTCTGCAAAAGTGATCTACATATCAGTTAATTTGTATAATTTGAATGATGTTCCCATTAATATGTCGTGATGTCATTAGTGTGTTTCTTCTTTTCTGATCTTGATTCAGTTAATCAAGTGTTCTCTCACAACCAACTTTCCCTGCAACCCATGTACTCTGACATAGCTGTCGCTGTGTCTGATACAGTGTATTTTCTAAGTTAGTGATTGCTTTTTGTAAGGTTGTACTCCTTTGGTCATGGGCATTGCCACCACCAACTTACCTGCACTGTCACACTGAGTCCTCTTCACTTTGCTCTCAGCCCCATCATGGGGATGACTAATGAATAGCTGGATGCTCCACAGATGAGCC